AAAAATAAAGTCGGTTCAAGTACATGAGGTTCACAATTTTCTCTTAGTTGATAAAGTGGGAACCTGAAGTGGCCTTCATGGCTCAGATACTAGCTGAAAACAGCAGTTGAAGAGCTTGGTCTGGAGCATTAGGGTGGGGAGAAATTAGGCAGCAAAGGCATATGGGCTCCATCCGTGAAGCCAGGCTGACACTGCTTTTAAATGTCACCGCGTTTATGAGGAGAGCGGGTAGCAATACCTCACTTGAATCCTGTGATGGTTATCTCGGTACCATTTCTCCCTTGAATGAATACAGTTGAATTTTAAAATAAACGATCTTGGGGCCAGGGATTTAGCTTGGCGGCACAAGTGCCTGCTTGGCAAGCGTGAGGTCATGACTTCAACCCCCCCTTCCAGAAAAATAAAAATAAGCAATCTTAATACAGAACTTAGCCAACATCTCACCTTTGGCGTTGTCATGGTTAGAATGCATCCCTCTAAAGTTGAGGTGTTGGAAACATCACCTTCAAATGCTCACGTTGGTAGTATCTGGAGGTGTGGTGTGGGAGGTCATTAGGGTTAGAGGCGTGGTGGGGGAAGTCCTGTGAGGAGAGAGGAAGACCCACCCCACACCCTGGGTGCTCTCCGCCAGGTTACTGTACAGTGCAGCAGGAAGACCTTGGCTTGAGCCAAGAAGGCCCCAGCGCTGTGTCCCTGTGCTACCCTGATGCTGGGACTTCCGATCCTTATAAATCACCCAACCGGTTAGAGCAATAGGAAATGGACTAAGATATTTAACAGCTCACTAGATTTACAAAATTCTAAAAATGTAAGCAGTACTTTGTGATTTGAAAATGACAATATTTTTAATGACTTTAGAAGGGCCCTTTAGAATTTTCCAACTTGGGCTGGGGGTGTAGCTCAGTGGCATAAGCACCTGCCTGGCAAGCCTGAGGTCCTGAATTCAATTCCTGGTTCAAAAAAAAAAACTCTGCTTCAAGAGCATCATTATGACTATCATGTAGAAACTACCCCAAATTATATTTATGTAGATTTTATAGCTATTTGACTTCTAAATAGGGAGATGCTGAATGGATGAGCAGTTTAAAGAACGGTTTTAGCTTTGGAAGTGTTGCAAAAGATTTCTTTCTAATCAAAACCAAAACCAAGACCAAACCACAAGGAACATGTCTGCATGTGCCTAAAGTCTGAGAATTTTGGTTTCCTGGTTCTGTCAGCCACGACAGAACCTTCTGGAAACAGCACTGCATATGTGTGTGGAACCCGTCTCCACCCTTGTTTCTTACCCATTTTGGCTTTTACTTTAGTGTTAACATTGACCTTTTCTGTTCAGATGAGGAAATACTGACCCTGAGGGAAAGTGTGCTTGTTGGCAGGCTCAGTCTACCTCCAGGCAAGCGCTGAACCCTCTGTGAGACCCTCAGACCTGAGTGCAGCTGGCTGCTCCTTCCCCGTCTGCCCTCCCTCCAGGACTCTGGGCTGACTGACCACCTCCTTCAAAGCTGTGGACTTTTATTTCATCTTAAAAATTCCATGGCTTAGGAAATAATGTCTGTTTAAAAGAAATGTGTAAATAAACCTAAGGTTTATAGTCCCACCACTGATGGTGTAGCCCCAAGTGAAAATTTTGTGTGTATCCTTCTAAGAATTGACAATTAAATTTTAAAATGTTGGATTATATTAGCAAAGCAATGTATTTTACACTGCCTGCTCTAGAATTCTGGGGCATTGATTTGCTTGGCTTTATAATCTTGAGAGAATTACTCAAACTGTTTGTGCTTTAGTTTGCTCATTTTTAAAATTATATATTAGGCTAGTGTCTACATCATGACTGCCTGAAAACATAAGTTAGTTATACTTGGAAAATACTTAGAACAGGGTCAGGAACATAATAAGTACTCAGAGACTGTTAGTGAACATTGGTGCTTTTATTACCTGTATAAAAATACTATTTGATAACTGCCATTTATTTATTTATTTGTGTGCGTGCGTGCGTGCATGCGTGCGTGCGTGTGTGTGTGTGTGTGTGTGTGTGTGTGAGACAGGGTCTCACTGTGTAGTTGAGGCTGGCCTTGAACACACAGTGAACCCTCCTGCCTCAGCCTCCCAAGTGCTGGGATTACAGGCATGTGCCATTGTATCTAGCATTGTAACCTGCCTTTAAAAAAGATATTGTGAATATTGCTCATGTTACTTATGACAAATACATGACTTCTTACTTGGCCCAAATTTATTACATGATTATACCATAATTTGTTTAATCAGTACACCACTGTGGGACATGCATTGTTTCCAGTGTTTTTTCATGGTAGTAAATAATAGTGTAGTTAACATTTTATGCAGAATTTGGGCAGATCTCTGCTTGTTTCCTAGGGCAATTTCTGAAAATAGAATGCTGAATCAAAAGATGTCAACGCTTCTTAGGTTTTCTTCCGAAATTCCTTTCAGAAATGTCACATGAATTTGTGTGCCTAGTATGTGAGATGGCTATTTCCCCAGAACCCTAAAGCGGTGTCGTGTGACTTGGAAGTTTCTTGAGATCTGTGGTCTTACCAGTCAGATGGCACTCTCTACTCTCCAAAACTCTACTCTTTTGAAGTGTTTGTTTTCTTTCATCCCAAATCCTTTTGAGTTGTTTCCCTTCCACTTTTAATCTGTTGTTTTCTAGTCTAATTCATATCCTGGCTGGGTGTGGGGGCACACACCTGTAATCCCAGCATTTGGGGGGCTGAGGAAGGAGGATCGCTGTGAGTTCAAGGCCAGCCTGAACTGCATAGAGACCCTGTCTCAAAAAAGACAAAAAATTCTCATCCTGCTACTATTCGGAACCTTTTTGGATTTCTTCACACCATTTCCTTTTTACCCATTTGGACTTGGACAAGAGTGTTCTGTGTTGCACAGCTGTGAGGTCTAAGTTTAATAATGGATACCGGAAGACAGGACCTTGGGATTTTTTCCCCATTGAAACCACATCTGATTGAAAATGAAGGGGTCCTCAAATGGACTTACTGCTTTAGAATTAGCAAGATTCCTTTTGCCCAAAGGTCCTAACCATATAAATATGCATCTAGAAGCATGGAGACTATTCTTACCCTGGGCAGCAAATACTCCAGATAATACCCAGTACTTAACCAGGAAAACAGAAACTTCTCTAAATATTTAAGCATAAAAAGACTTTAACTACCCAAGTGACGGGTGAGCTCAGAAGCCAAACAGATGCTGAGGCCGTGTTGAGGTCAGTGACTCCTGGAAGCTGGCCCCACCCTCAGCTAGAGGGGCAGGGGATGGATGGATGGGGCTCTCCAGGGGACGTCCCGGGCCTGTTGGTTGGGAGCTGGGCCACGGAGGGAATGCAGCTGGTCCTGTCTCACGGGCCAGAATGGGAGGAGAAAAAGGCCTTGGTTTTCTCTTTCTCCCTCTCTGGTCTCTTCCCAGTGTCTCCCATCGGTAAATTCAGTCTGGAGCCATTGACAGAGGTTTGTGGAACTGTGCGCAGCTGCAGCTAACCCCGTTGGTGGCCAGCAGAGCCCAGGGGTGCAGGGGGAATCTGAAGACGAACAGGCCAAGACCTGGCACAGCGCTCCCTGGAGCCTTTCAGGCCCACTGATAACAAGGCACAGTGCAAGCTGTGCAGGTCCTAAGAGGTCGGCAGGCTCAGGTATGAATCTGGACTCTGTCACTGACTGGCTTTCTAGCCTTGGGCAAGTCACCTAACCCCTCTGACCTTTAGTTTCCCCACCTATCAAAGAGTGGAGAAGACCATAGTCTTGGGGTCACTGTGAGGATTAAGTGATAGTTACAAAAATTACAGTAAGCATTTGACGACAATTGGTTTCCACTCTTATCCAAGAATTTATTGTTTCAGGACATCTACAATCAGGCATTTATTTGATTAAGGTCACCAAGTCTCTCCATTCGGAAAGAAGGAAGAGCAGGCAGCTCTGCCTGGGGTGGGAACGGGTGATAATGGCCCAATGATAATAATGGGCGGCTATCTAAGCACACACAACTGAGTCATCATTTCACAACATTTCTGGAAATTATTTAGACGTAGTCTGTGTCCTGGAGGAGACATTATTCCATCAGAGATGTCATAGCCAGAGATCAGTCTCAGTGCAGGATGGTATGGGGAAGTCTGCGAAGCAGGGACAGCTCTGCTGGGCATGGGAGAAGGGCAGGGGAGGCTGCCCGAGCTCAGCTATGAAGGACGGTAGGCGTCAGCCAGCTGCATAAATGCAGGAGAGCACACAGAGCTATCAGAAGGCTGGGGCACGGGGGGAGTCATGTGGCGAGTGTGTTTTAGGGGTCCACGGTTAAAACAGTGGTGAGAACAAGTGAGAGATGTGGCCAGACACAAAAGAGAGAGCCACGTGGGAAGGGCCTAGAGTCAGAAGCTAAGGATTTGATTAACCAGCAGATTAAACTAGGCACAACCCACTGTCTCTAATCTAGAATTCGATCAAACGATGTGTCTCCACAGGCTCTTATAGCCTCCTTGGTCCAATGGCCAATGGATGTAGTTACCCGTAACAGGGGTCAGAAATGCACAACGATTTTCCCTTAATATTAAATACAGAGTAGGAAGAAGTGATTAACTTGTCCTCCAGGCGCTGCAGGGCTTAAGGCTAATATTTAAAATGTTCTCCTTTTCACAAAGCCAAAAGCATCAGAGGATGCTTGTGGCATTGCGACAGGATTCTAAGGATTCTGATGAAATGTCTGTCAGGATGCTGAAAAAGACTTTTCATTATAGTAATTTCAAGGAAAATGCAAAATGATGGAGACAGACCTTCTATGCTTTCAGAGCCTTTCACGTCAGCCTCATGGCTCTCATACGTGGCAGACAGGGTGGAACACAAACCCAAGGCAGGGATAGACAACTGGGAGCCTGGGGGTGTGTGACATCCTCAGGGTCCAAGAAGTTAAGCCCACAGCTGCAGCTGGACATCTGGACACACAGACGGGGTCCTTTCCCCAAACACGAACACTGCTCTGCCTACCTGTGTCCTTCCGTAGGCCAGGATGGCTTCTTGGAGATCTTGAAGTGTGTGCAGCTCCAGAGCCAGCCGCTCCCTGTGGCCCGTGGGGCGGGAGACATCCTTTCTCCTCTCCCTGGGAGTCCAGGCTGGGATGGCCAGGCCCTCTGAGTAAAGGATCAGAGCGCCCTTTCTGGTGCTAAAAGTCTTGGGAAGAAAAAGGCTCCAGGAGTGCTGCTCAGCACTGTGTCCGTCCTGAGGCCTGCTGACCAGGACATAGTCTTCCGGGGACTTCCAGTTCAGGTAATCCTGCAATGAAAGGAAACCACTATGACAGAGCACTGTGGGAGACCTTTCTAGGGCAAATATACTCAGGCCATGTTTGGAACCTTTTTTTGTTACTGTTTTCTTGAATTGTTCATGTGAAATTATGAAAAGCATTTATTCTTCTTAGCAACTGGATCTTTTTCTCCACATCTCAGAATTAGTAGAAGCCAGGGCACAGTTCTCTTTCATTCTGTACAACTTTCGGGACAGCCATTCACTCCTGGAGGCTTAGGTAGGCCAAGGTATAGGTTACAGGCCAGTTAAAGTGTCCAGGTATGCAAGTAAGTAGTTAGAATTGTCAAGGACAGCAGATAACTTTGAAATCGGATCTGGACTAGTTGGCAGTTTAAATAAGAGAAAACCATTCCAACCCACTAGCACTTCAGCTGTACACAGGGAGAATTCTATACATTCCAGATGCTGTGTAACATGACCTAATTTGGCTAGTTAGGAGCCTATAAAGTAGTTAGATATCTTGTAAGTAAATGCCATTGGCCGTAGAGGCCCTTTGAAATTTTATATGTCTTTTAACACAGCACAGGTCAAATATCAGAACAATGGAAATCTCTGTATGACCCAAAAATGTGAAAGTACCCTCAATGGATTTCTTATTCCTGGCAGGACTCAAGAAATAAAATTCCAGTACAATAAGGGAATTTTACCACCTCTTTAAAATCCGAAGTGAAATTTTTTTGGCCTATATTAAATATGAATCCCCTGGGTTGAATTCCAGAAAGTTCAAGGAAGCTATTGAAATGGCAGGAACACACACAGCATTTCACCACGGAGCAGGACTTCTAAACGCCAAACAACCGTTGGCTCGCCAAGGGCCCAGGTGGGAATTCTGGTTGTGGAACAAGTCTTCCAGATTCCAGAGCATCTGGATTCTCTTTCAGTCTGAAGCAAAGGAGAGTGGGAGTGTGGGCTCAGGGAAGGAAGCGGGGCGCCGACTCTCCTGGGGTGTCAGGAGAGCCACATTATCATCCTGAAGGAGGAGAGAAGACCCCAGCACCTCACACCAGGTCACCTCCAGAAGGGAAAGAGGAGAGTCCCTCCCGCCCTGCCAGGGTGCCTTCCAAGCTGTGGACTCACCTCTGGTTCAAAGTAGACCTCCAGCCTCTGTTTGCTCTGGACCAACTTCCCGTGGCCCCGGCTCAGGAGAGAGAGGGCGAGCATTGTCCCCCTCTGACCACCCTTTCCAGGCGTGGTTTGTCTTACTTTTGAAGGTTGAAAACTGCCCACACTTCAGGGTTTCCAGAGCTCCACAGAAGCCCGAGAAGCCACAGACACTGGGCCTTTTATTACACTCGTTTCCCCTCACGCAGCTGCTTCCTAACCGCCGGCCACACAGTTCGGACAGTGTGCAGCTTTGTGAGAGGATGGACAGACAGACGGCCGGGCTCCTCCGCCCTGCCAGCCGCGGCCGAGCCCTTGTTGTCCCTGTCCCCGTTGCTCTGTTACCGCCACCCACTGTGCTCCTGGCCACAGTGCACCCTCATTGTGAGTGCAGGTTGTTTCCTGGTTGCCATGGCAGCACAGGGACACAAAGTCCCTGGCCTGGCAAGCAGAGCAGAGAGGACGTGGTAGGGCTGACCAGGGCCAGCAGAGATGTGGGGTCCGTGGGGTGCCGTGACTGGGAGCTCCAGCCCTGGTTTGGGGGGTGGCTTATTTTTCCTGTGATATGTTCATCTTGTTTTTAGGGAGCGTCTCCCCCATCCCTCCATGTGTGAGTCTGTCATCCCTCCATGTGTGAGTCTGTTGCTGTCACCTGACCACTCATCAGCCAGGGGGCATCTAGGTCGTCGCCAACTACCCACGGTGCATCCCTGGGCTGTGCCCTGGTGTACAGGTGCACCCCGGCAACTCTGCAGCCTGAGCAGCCTGAGACCCTGGCTCTGCTCCCTTTGTGGCCTGGTGCTTGGCTGTGCATGTCCACCACCATGGGTGTGGGGGGCTCGGAAATATGGGTGGGGGCATTTTGGTAGTCACAAGCCCTGCTGGCCTTTGGGATACAAAATGATCTGTGGGGTGGAAGAATGGCCTCGCCAACAAATTACCCAGCCAGCAGTGCTGCTCTGGCTGGGCCACTGCATTCGAACTCTGTGAGGGCCTAAGAGGCGGGGTCTGGGAAGTTGAGGAGCCTGCTCTGTCCTGAGAATGCCTGGGGTGTCCTTGCTTAGCTGGGTGCAGGAGCAGGTTGAGCTGCAGGCCACCCCCTCCCCAGGCAGGGTGAAGGGAGCTCGGGGCATCTGGACAGTGAGGGCAGAGGTGAAGCCATGAAGCACAGCACTTGGCCGCTTAGGATGGCTGTTAACACATACGCAGAGCCAGCTAAGCAGTATCGGCGAGGACACGACAGAGCAGGACCCGTATGCCATTGGTGGGAAGGTTACATGGGTGCCTCTGTAGAAAGTAATAGAAGTCCCTGCCCTCCAAATGAATGAACATGATCTAACGCCTCCATTTCCGAGCCTGGGCTGAAAACTGAGGAAGCACAGCCTCAGATGTGCATGCAGTCCATGTTTGGAGCGGTGTTATTCATGAAAGTCAAGATATGGCAGCAAACCAAGCATCCATGGATGGGAGGACAGGGGCAGGGAGGGGTAGGAACCTCCCATGGGGCACTGTACAAAAAAGGAGGAGGCTGGGGCACTGGTCACAGCAGGGATCGGCCCTGCTGTGAGAAATAGCCAACCACACGTGGGTGCATTGTGTGACTCCACCAACGAGAGGCACTTGGAGCACTGGAGTCCGCAGAGGCAGAAGGCAGAGTGGGGAGGGTGGCTGCGGCTGGGGTGCAGGGAATGGAAAGGCCCCGTCAGCCAGCGTCAGGGATGCTGGGTCTCTGTGGGAGGCGAGATGTTCTGGAGATAACTCGCTGCGCACAGGTGACTGTGTTTACTGCCATTGAACTATAAATTTAATAGTGGTTAATGTGGTAAATTTATGGTATGCATATTTTATAACAAACAATGATTAACAATGTCCAGTACCCTCCTTGAGGTGGTGGCACAAAGCTCTAAGAACAGGATTATAAATGGCTTATCAGGTTGTTCCCTCCCTTCCCCTCCATTAGCCCTTCAAAGTACAAAAAGAGACCTTCACAGACATTTTCTGAAGCTGGGACTTGTGGCACAGGCCTGTAATCCCAGCACTCTGGAAGGAGCAGAAGGATCACAAGTTTGAGCCCAGTCCAGGCAACGTGACAGCTTAGCAAGACTCTGTCTCAAAGTAAAAAAATAAAAAGGGCTGGGGATGCAGCTCAAGGCCAAGCCCTGGGTTCACCTGCCAGTACAGAGAACAAAATCATGCTGCAGTTACTCTGTGAGACATCTCTGTACTCATGGGGCCTAGTTCCTGACAGCTGAGATAGCTGTGATCCTGGAGCAGGAGAGATGTAGGTGCCCAAGAAAAAGAGGCAGAAGTACACAGGTTGTAGAGGAGGTGCATGCGGTGGTGAGCACCTTGGAAGTCTAGAGATGAAGCATGTTGGAGGTGGGTAGGGAAGGATGGTAGTTTGCTGGGAAGATGAGAGAACGGGGTGAAGGGACAGTGGAACTTCATGTGTGAACAGGAATTCCGGGGTCTCTGGGGAAGGAGTGCTCTCTCTGTGTGGCCGAAGCTGCAGGTCACGTGGACTGATGACCTGGAGAGGTGGATCAGTGGGCAGAGGCTTGAGGGGCCACCTGTAGCCTGGGCTTTATTCTTCAGGTTGGTTTTTCGAAGCAGGGAGGTGATATGATCCCATCTGGGTTTTTAGAAGATTACCTCTGAGGAACTTATAAACGATGCATAGAAAGGAGGGCATGCTAGTTTTCTGCTGCTGAGGAATAGCTGAGAGATACAATGTAAAGGAGGAAAGATGCACTTGGGCTCACGGTTTCAGAGGTTTCAGTCCCTGGTCACTCAGCCCCATCATTTAGCACATGGCACAGGAAAGCGGTTTACCTGGTAGCAGCCAAGAAGAGCAGACGGACAGCTCACTGTTATAGCAAAGATCTTCCCCTCAGCCCACTGAGCTGTGAACCCATCAACGGATCAACCCCTTCGTGAGGTGACAGTGCTCACGATCCAGTCACTTCCCAAAGGACCCATTCCCTGAGCCCAGCACATGTGCTTTCAAGGGGACACTTAAGATCTGAACCCCAAAAAGCACTGCTTACCTCAAAGCTCCTCTTTCCTTGGACTCAAATGCATTCTTCATGAAGTTCCAGAATAATCACTTGCTAAATGGTCACTGGGTGAGGCAGGGAAAAGAAAACTCCATAGCAGCTGCAGGGAAACAGAAGTCTTACTGTCTGTGAAATGCCAGCCCCAAGAGAAGAAGAAAGTAGGGTCAGGATGGAGCACCGGGAGCCACTGTCAGCCAAGGGCTGACTTCCCGAGTTTCCCCGATGGAAGTGCTTTCTCAAGAAGCCCTTCTCTGAGCTCCACCGATTTTTTAAAAATTTTATTTTGAAAGTAGTAAAATACAACAGAACAAGACAGAATAAAGCCAACTAAGATCATACAGTGAGATTGGTACAAAACTTCACAGCAGGTTAACAGTAATAGGTATCACAGTTTATTTCATTATCTTTATAATAGTTGTTCTTTCAAACACGTATATCAAAATAAAATGAAATACAGAACATTATAGAACTTATCAAAACAGAATATTGAATAGAGCAGTACCATTAATCAGAATAGATCAAAACAGTAATAAAAACATTTGCCTTCAAAGAGGTGGTAGAAAGAAATCCCCCTTATTTGCTATGGTCAACCTCCCAGGAGATGCTCAGATTTCTGGTTCCCATTTGCTAACGGGGGGGACAGGGAAAGGAGAGTTAGGGGAAGTGGGATGTTTGACTCTAGGCTGTGCACCAGTAGGTTCACTATTGCTTAGCAGGGAGGCAGGCTGGTTGCTTGGTCTCCTAGCTTCGTAAGTTCCAACATGGTGTGGATCTCATAAGACACTGGTGTTTCTCCCCCTGGAAGGGCCACAGCTGGCCACACCACAGCCACTGACCAGGGAGGCGAGTTTCTTGCTTGGTTTCCTAGGGTCCTAAGTTCCAACATGGCACGGATCTCAGGAGCCGCTGGTTTTTCTCCCGCTTGAAGGGCCACAGTCTGCCATACCACCACCACTTACCAGGGAGGGGAGGTGCTTGCTTGGCTTCCCAGAGTCCTAAGTTCCAACATGGTGCAGATCTCAGGAGACACTGGTGGTTCTCTCCCTGGAAGGGCCATGCTCCATGGATTTTGAAACACTAACGTGCCCATCGAAGGAGAATCGAGGACCTCGAAAGTGGTCTTCATGTGGAGGCTGAGGGAGCCTCTTGTCTGGGAGGACAGCTAGGTGTCCGTGCATTGTCCTTCTGATGCAGGGGCGAGGGACCAGGTCTCCCTGGGTCTGTGACCTATGAGCAGTTGACCACAGCCCTGTCCCACAAGGCCTGTCCCAAGCCATCATGTTTACATCATGCTGTTTAATATGGACAATGAACAGATCCACAGGTCAATTAATAGACATTTAAAAGCATTTACTCTGTCCCCGTAACAGTTTATGGAAAGTGCATTTAGAAAGCAATTGAGGTTATTGTGATTCTAAAGTGCTTGGGGATCCCAGATGAAAGGCCCTTGTAACTGGAAAGTATTTATAACTCAAGAAGAAACCCTCCACACCCATGTTATACAACACCGACACCATCCCCTGCATGCCAGACTTGTCGGCCCACGCAGCATGTCTGTTTAAATTACACTGTAAATTCTGTAGGGTGGAGACCTGGCTTTTATGGTTTGTAAAGTATCATGAATAACCATAGCAGTCTGAGAATAAATAGAAACCACATGAAACAAGGAAAATAGATGCCATTCAATGGCGACGTCCTCCGTACATTCAGATTTGTCCCTTGTTCCAGAATGGCTAGGCTAGATGTAGCCACTCTGAAGTGGTCTAGGATTTCCCTTCACCTCTATGGAGCAAGTGTGTGTTTTCTAGTAATTTTATTTGACTTCAGGGGGAATCTACAAGAAGAACCATTGGTGTTGGTTTTACTTCCTGAAGAGCAAAGAGAGATTAAGTGCTTTTTAAATCATTTGGTAGAGCGGGACCCTGTCCAAAGGTGCTCCAAATTGCAGCCTGCTGTCCCTCTCGTTTCACAGCTGAGCAGGGCCAGTCATCTGTGAGAAGCTGTGTCCTGGCTATCAGACTGCTGTTAGGAAGCAGCTACAGGGGTGGCCACCTCGGCGCCGTTTCAGCTGGGACTTAGAGACTGGATGCTGGGCCCCTGGTCGGGCTTCCGGGCCCTCTCCGAGCACCCGTACCTTTCCAACCTCACTTCTCTGCCCTACTTTACTGCTAATATAGTTTCAAAGTTTTCTAAGAAGTTATATTTTCAGCTTCCTAACCTCTGCCCCAGGAGGGCAGTGGGATGAAGGTTGATAGAGCCAGGCAGCCACAGGGACCTCCTATAAGCACCTGAG